TGTTACGCTTAGGGCATGTTTTCAGCTGACAAAACAATTCCACTTTCAGAAGGAAAACATTAAAAATACAAAATTCATTACTGAATTCAGGAAAGAAAAACACACTCAGACACACATGTATGCACATTAACTGGAAACAGTGTTTAAAAAATAAATGTTTCTCAGGTACAGATATCTTTTCTTTGTATCTAATAACGAATCCAGTACAGGAGGCACCTTTTTGAAGGTTTACAGGAGGAAAAAACATTGTGAACAACTTTTTGCCCTTATCTATGGTAATGGCCTTGTCTATCATTACCCTCTCAGGTTTCATCTTTACCATTTTCTAAGCCTATTGCTTCTGTTTTGTTACTTACTGGTTTGCTTCCTTTTCTATAATGCAAGTATTGCTTTAGGGAGTGAGCTGAAAAATGCAGCTGAAAGGCCACAGAAAAGGAAATGGACCTGCTATTAATGGAGAAAGACCTGTTTTTTAGGACTCCTTTTGTTGGGAGCTTGATTAAGCATCCAAAATTCTGAGTTGGCCAAGTAGTAACCTCCTTGACAGTGAAACACCAGTTCATTAAGTGATTGCAGGGAGGAGAGGGCCTTCTTTTGCTGGCACATCTTTCCCTGTGAAGAAGGGACTCCCAGGGGAAGGTACATGGCTGCTGGAAATGTCAGGCTCAGAAGTGTTTTATCTCATGTAACTTCCCCATAGTGGGTTGGTATCAAGCTCAGCCGTGCAGCTACACAACAGCACAGATCAGCTGGTGGGTCCAGGCTGTTGTGTTCCAGCGTCTGGCAGAACAGGAGGCAGAGGCTATCAAGAGGACGCTGTACATAATATTTAGTTACTGCTGTCTGGAATCTCTCTGCTTGGCATCCAGGAGGACTGCCAAATGGGGATTTTTGTTCTTTTCCTGATCTTTATGCTGTAGTCTAATAACATGCCGGGGAAGGATGCTCTCACGTGGAACCAGGCTTCTCAATTTCTCATTCCCATTAGCCTGGGTTTCATGGTTACCCCCTCGTGACACCAGCTGCAAGCTCAGCAACGCAGTCCAGGTACTGGTGGACAGATGGAGGCAAGAGGCTTGTGTCAGCGCCTGAAGGTAACTTTAGCAGGGTCTTTAGAACTTCTGCTTTTTTTTTTTTTTTAGGATGCCAGCTCCCATGGAAGCAGGCTTTATAGAACTTAGCAGGCTTTATGTAATTTACGTATCTGTAACAATTAATGGTTATTTTACTGTTCACTGAAAACCTCGGGAAATGAATGTGCAGAAAGATACATTGTCTGATCTGAAAAAAAATTAAGCTAATTTCCATAATAATACAGATGGTTTTAAAAATCTGCAAGAATCAAGAAATAAGAAGGTAAATCTAGAAATAAAGTTGAGAGGAAAAAAGAAGAAAAAAAAAAAAAGGAGGGAAGAAGCAGCCAAATTTGGAAAAAAAAGCTGAAACAGATTTCTTATGCTTATTCCATATTGTAATAAATGTTCTCCATTTCAGATACATATGTACAAATTCATAAATGAATGATGTACATTTTGTCTGCTCTTAGTAATGAAACAGATTCAGTTATTGGTGGGTCCCAAAATGAACTGTAATGATCAATACGGTTGTCCCCCACTAGATGATCTAGAGATTATTTTACTCTAGAGTAAGATGGGCTGTATAGACATATATCCCATTGTATATATGCCAGCCCTGTTTTGTTTAATTCTTACTCACATCATTCTATACTTCCCCCACCCTTCCCAAACCTGCCTGCTCCAGCATTGGTCTGTAACAGACAGGTTAGAAATCTAATTATTTCTATAGTCACAGATTACATTAACATTTTAGATTTTTGCTGTATTTGTTTAGATTTTTATAATTTTCTCTTGCTCGGCCTAGTGGGCTCAGTGTAAAAGGATGTTCCTGACCATAATTAGAATGACTCATCTCTTCTAGTGATGTTGTAGGTGTATACAGATATTGCTAACTAATTCGACTGGTAACAGCAAAAGCCATTTTAAGAATAAAAAGTTAGTGTTACAGCCCATCACGTCTCAGTCTGAGACTCGGTTTGCAGATCTTGGATGCTGCGTTGTATTGTCAAATTGCAAGGTGCGAGACTGTTGGTGGACGCCACAACCCTCAATTTAGCAGAGGTGGCCTTTTCCAAGCATGAGAACTGGTGTCTCGGACTCACAAGAGCCAACGTGGGGCTCAGAGCGTTGCCGACATCATATATTGACCCTGTCGCTGCCATTTCCGATACCTACCTGTCCCTGAGACAGACAGAAAATGCCTATTTTATGGATAACCCAGAATAAACCAGGGCTTCCCTGTCAGATGCATTCCCAGCTCCCTGGTATTACAGACTGAAGTGATGACACCTGGTACCACAAGTGAACATACTATTTTTTTTTACTTGACTGGACTCTGGTGTTTAGATACTAAAAGAGAAAAGGGACATCCTATCAATGGCAGCAGTACTCATATGTAGGAATTTAGTGTGTGAATCCCCTCTGTAACTGTAGTCCCAATGTTCTGGAATAACAATCTTTTATCACAGGTGAAGTAAAATTTCCCCCCCCGCCCCCCCGCCGAAGTTGATGATGGGGGTTAATGACTCGGACCTTGCCTGGGCCAGGCGGGTCTCTCCACGCGGGGTTTATGGGGCTTTCCCAGCAGGAGCTCCTGAGAAGGAGACGGCTGGACTCAGAGGCACCATCTCCCTCCTTCCTGCGCTCCTCGTGGGCCAGGAGGGTGGCGGTGCGGGTTTGTCACCCGGAGCTCTGTCCGTGCCCGGCGCGATCCGCGGTGCCGGTACAGGTGAAACGGGGGCCACGGCCGCCCCGGCGCTCGTCCCGCCGCGGGTCCCCCGGGGCTCCGCAGCACGGCCTGAGCCGCGGCCGGGCCGGGGCGAGCAGCGGCAGCGCCCGCCGTTGCCGTCCGGGTTCCGGCGGAGCCGCGCCGCCCAGCGCGGGGTCTCCTTGTCGGCACCGAGGGTCCCCCACAGCCCGGGGACCCCCCGATACCGGCCCCCCGCGGTCGCTGTGCCCGGCCGCCCCCGGGCGCCGCGTCCGTTCGCCCCCTCTGGCCGGTGGCTTAGAGAAAACCACGAGGCTCATTTTGCTTTTGGATCATTTCTTCACTGGTGCTATTTTTCCTGCTTTTTCCACCCCCCGCAGCCTCCCCCGTGTCTCTCCCCAGACCTTCCCACCAGCAGTTTCGGGGGGGTGGAAGTGTCCCCACAAAGGACTCTGTGCCCGTCCTGTTCATTCACACTTTCTCTCTAACCATCCCAAAACATCCTGCGGGAAGGAGTTTGGCAGAGAAGAGCAATTGAGAAAAAGTGTTCAATCTGAACCCTCTACCTGACAGTTTAATTTTATGCCCTTTTATTTCTTGTATTGGAGGAGAAAATGGACACCTGGTCCCTGGTTGTATTTTGCAAATGTCTTCTCTGGGCTAAAGAGAAGAGAGTTCAGATTTATAAAAGCCCTTCTCAAGGTGTGAGGCACGAGACTTTCATATTCACAACACACTCGGGTTGTGAGTTCCCTCTGAATTAGTGTGTGGTGTTATTTTCTCTCTTCCTTACCTAATAATGCTTAGCATTAGCTGACCCTTTTCCTTTCAAGGTCCGTCTTCTCTTTCTGGATTTATAACAGTATTGAAAGCGCCAACTGCCAAAACAAAAAAAGAAGAAAAAGCAGAAGAACCTTATGATACAGTCAAAATAGAAGTGGGAATATAGTGCTGATAAAGTAGTGGTGAAACAATTTTGTATTTTATTATGAGTGTTCTGAGCAGGCCAGCGTTACGGGCAGTTTGCTGTCTGCACAACTGTTCAGCCCCTTCAGAATTGTATCCCAGTTTGTTGAACGTGTTGCTCTCAAGAATGAATGGAACTCCGGGAGCATTTCCTTAAGATGAAAGGCTAAAGACACTGCTAAAATAGTTAAGAGCAGGCGCGTAGGTGACTTGAGCACACTGGAATGGAGGTATGTAGTGGACTGCTTTTTCTTTTAAGAGAAAAAAGATAGGATTAGAGTGGGAAGGTAAATCTAGACCCGTACAACTAGAAATAGGACTACATGTGCAGACTATAAAGACGATTATCTGTTGGAATACTTTGCACAGAGACCTGTTACATTCAGTTGCTGTCCTTATAGTAAGACTGTATTTTTTCCTGTTGTATTGTACAGCTCTGCGAGGAGTTGCAGCTTGAGGCAGGAGTAACAGAGTTCTATCTGTGCCATGCAGGCAGTCTCATCAGAAAGTCCCCTCAGGCTTTACCTTGAAACCATCCAAGCTTTATATTTACAGCGATCAACGAATGAGAGTTTGGGCCACACGTTTTTTTTCTGATTCCCACATCTGTGGCAATCCCTTCCACGCTGGGAGCAGAGGTGCCGGATGGCAATGATGACAGCAGCCACTTTCACCCTCCGTACTTCACTTTCACCACTCACATTTCCCATTAACGGAACTTTGCAAGTGGCCCGGGACAGCCATCAGCTTTGTTTGATTTTGGGGAAGCCTCAGTTGTCCCGTCAGAGACAGGGCTCCAGGAAAAGCACGTCCCAGCTTTGACATTAACTGAGGGTCACAAGCCAAAGTGCTTTGGAGCTCTTTGCGGATCAGTAGGGTGTTGTTTATAGAGTTGCATTTGTGGCATGACAAGCTTTTCTTCCAAAAATTGGTTAAAATCAAATTTGCCTCAGTCTGAAATAATCGGTTCCCTACAAACAATTGTCAAATATTGAATATGAGCCCCTTCAGCTCAGATGTTTCCCCCCATTAAGAGACTGTAGATGCAATCATGGCCCTTCTTTTTTACTGCTTCATGGATCTCATGAAGACTTGTCTGACTTCTGACCACATTACAACAGCAAGACACCCTTATCCCTGCCTGCATCCACCCACACCCACCTTCTCTTCATGCACTGAGGACTTTATGAGGATTCAGGGGGTGCATTTGTACACATGCATAAGATTTTTTTGTTCAGTGCCATGTTACACACAGTAAATAATTTTTGTTGCATTTGGAAATGAGTTTTAATGGAGTCCAGACAATAACCAGTAGCATTGTTCTTCAATAGGGGGGCGGGAAAGGTAACTTTAAAACAGAAGACAAATTAAGCTTAGTAATCCACAGGCTGAAAAAGAAAGTTGGGTGTTCTGTTAGATGCACCATCCTTGTCCATCTCAGTGCTGCCCAGTTTCATTTGTTCCTTATTTTGCCCCAAAACATTTAACTGTGTTAAAGTAGTGCTTTAACTGATTACTGCCTTTGCCTAATTTAAGGCTGCCTCTCCATTCAGAATGAGCTTTCTCCAACATTACCCCCTGTACTTGGAATTTCTTTCCTTTTGATCTTGCCGCTGTGAACCCCCAGCTCTCGCCGTTGGTGAGGATGGATGTGTCACTGGAGTGAAATTGCTCTCATTGTGGGTTATTCTTTTCTTACAGCTCTCCCTCCCCTCATGGCTCGTCGATCTCAAAGCTCCTCTCAGGGGGACAATCCCCTCGACCCCAACTATCTCCCCCCCCATTACAAGGAGTATTACCGCTTGGCGCTGGACGTGCTCACTGAAGAGGGCAAAGACAGTTACCAACGCTTCTTGGCAGAGGAAGCTGCCCCTGATTTTCTCTGCAACTCAGAGGTGGATCACATCATCCAGAATCTCCAGAAGCCCCAGTACGCCAATCAGGAGGGCAGCACAGACACCGCAGGTGACAATGACATGGATGGATCCTCTGGGACTTACTGGCCCATGAACTCAGACCTTGCTGTTCCTGAGCTTGACCTGGGCTGGCCAATGGTCTTTGCGTTCAGGGGAACAGAGGTGACGACCCTTGTGCAGCCCCCACCCCCGGACAATCCCAGCATCAAGGAGGAGGCTCGCAGAATGATCCGGTCTGCCCAGCAGGTGAGACAACGACAAGCCCACCCAGAGCAGAGAGGAAATCATGTGTGTGTGAAAGATGGATCAGAATGCTGCAGGTCCTCTGCTAATTCCCTTAACTTTGCTCCCAGGACCCGACAGAGAGAAGGATGATTCTAGAACTACTGTTTTCTGCACCAAAGCTATCTTCCAGTCTCCTGGAAAAGTGCTGAGATCTACCAAGAGTTCACAGAATCACAGAATAGCTGGGCTTGAAAGGGGCCTCTGGTCTTATCCACCCCCCCTGCTCCAAGCAGGGTAGATTAGAGAAGGTTACTCAGGACATGTCCTTGACTATCTCCACAGATGGAGACTCCACAGCCCTTCTGGGCAGCCTGTCCCAGTGTTCAGCCACCCTCACAGTAGAAGAGGTTTTCTTATGTTTAACTGGAATTTCCCATATTTCAGTTTGTGTCTTGTCCTCTCACTGGGTACCACTGAGAAGAATTTGGCTCCATCTTTCTTACACCCTTCCATCAGGTATTTATACTCACTGATCACGTAAGAGTCTCCATGACAGGGAGATAGAGCTTTGAAGCTGCTGCCCATATTATCAGCGTGCAGGTGCAGCCACACAGTGGCTGACTGAGCGCTGGCCAGGGAGTTCTCTAAAAAGGGCACGGGCTTTTGAGGGGGTGAGCCCAGCAGCTCAGTACAACCTTCCCATGTGGCTACAAGAGCAAAACCATACCTGCTTCCATTTTGGATTAGTGGGTGAGGGGCAGCTCAGTGGCAGTGAAGTTTTTCCCTCGCCTCTCACCGTTGAGCAGAAGATGCACCTTAGAAAGCAATTCTGCTTCCAGCCCCGGGGCCCCCAGTGTTTAAAGGAATCTTTAAAAGGGAAGGTTCCCGCTTAAAAAGGAAGTTGAAACGGAGACAGTGCAGCTTTGGAACATGAGGTGCTGGCGAAGGTGATCAGTCAGGCTCTGGTCGCTGATGTGTTTCTTGCGTTCTGTCCCCAGGTGGTGGCCATAGTGATGGACACTTTCACTGACGTGGATCTGCTGTTTGAGGTGTTGGACGCTGCTGCTCGCAGGGTGCCCGTCTACATCTTGCTGGATGAGATGGACTCTCAGCTTTTCCTTGACACAGCTGCTAAATGCAGAGTCAATCTGAACTATGTGGAGGTGAGCAAACCAAAGACTTGCCCTGCCGCTAATTCACATCCCAAGGGGGACACGTCCAAGGACACAGGGGGCTGTTATGACAGTAAAATCCTGAGAAAGGGGGAAATGGGCCTGGTGAAAGGTGAGCATGGAGAAAGCTGGGAGAGCTGGCACAGCAACACAGGGCTGAAGGCTGAGGACATGCCAATAAAGGGGTTTATCTATCAGTGTGTAGGCGGGCAGAATGCCCGGAGCTGAAGTATAATGGTGCCAGGATGGAAGTCAGAAGAGCCGGGGGAGGAAGGAGGGGCAGAGAGGAGGGAAGTAACCGCTACCGACTGAGTCAGTGCCTTGTCTGGTTTGCAGTTCCTGAGGGTGAGGACAGTTTCTGGCCCAACCTACTACTGCCGCACAGGGATGTCCTTCAAAGGCCACGTGAAAGAGAAGTTCCTCTTGGTGGACTGCATGGTGGTGCTCAGTGGCAACTACAGGTGAGACGCCCTGCAATGTTCCGTGTCCTGCTTTCCGTGAGGAGGAAGCTGGTTAATTGGTAAAGCAGTGCTTTGGCACTTCCAAATGAACATCAGTGACACGAGTTTTCTCACTGAAGGATACCAAGCAGCATTTTTTAAGGAAAAATACACCATTTTGCAACTGAGGTAGATACTCCGATTAAAACGTCATCAGGCCCAGACACCAAGCCAAGCTCCCACCACACTGAGTGTGTAAATGAGCTGTAAAGAACGTACAGCGATTATAAGGTGGTGTGGGTTAACCCCAGCAGGCAGCTGAGCCCCAAACAGATGCTGGGTCCTTATGAGGGAATTGCAAGGGGAAATGTGAGGAAACTTACAGGTGGGACCAGAAACAATGTGCATAAACTGAAACACGGGAGGTTCCCTTTGAAGATGAGGAAACACTTCTTCACTGTGTAGGTGACAGAGCACTGGAATAGGTTGTCTGGGGACCGTGCAGAGTTTCCCTTCTCAGAGATATTCGCAAACCATCTGCACGTGGTCCGGGCCAACTGGCTGTGGGTGGCCCTGCTCGAGCCGGGGTGGGCGGGTGTGGTTGGGCCAGATGACTGCAAGAAGTCCCTTCCAACCTCACCTGTTCCATGGTTCTGTGAAAAGCGGACTCGCTGCTCCCGCTGCAGTGTCACAAGTGCTGACGAGGGGGCAAATCATCGCTTCCATTCACCTCTTGACTGCACTTTGACTGCTGTGTCCCTGCCTGTGTTGAGCCACCGCCACTGCAAAGGTGCTGCTGTCTGTGTCCATCCCATTGCCTGCCAGAACCTCCAAGTCTCTTCCAGCCAAGCTGCCTTCTAGATACTCATCCTCAGCCCTGTACCAGTGGATGGGGCTGTTCCTTCTCAGGTGCAAGATTCTGTGTTTGCCTTTGCTGAATCTCCTGAGCACATTTCCCCGGCCTGTTGAGGTCCCCGTGACTGGCACTTCAGTTGCGCCATCCCACCTTTCTGGTGCCCTCTGCCAGCTTGCCGGGGGTGCACACTGCCCTGTTGTTCAGGTCATTAACAACAGCGTGAAAGACTATTTCCCCAAGCCCTGACCCTTGAGGAACACCACTTACAACTGTCCACCCCTCAGACTTCAAATCACTCACTACCAACCTGTTTCCCCTTCGCTGTGTGGGACGCTTCTTCAGCCCGGAGTGGTCCCATTCACCTACAAAGATACTTACAGAAAGGCCCTGTGGAAGCCCTTGCTAATGACAAGAAAAACCTCACCTGTTGCCCCCTTGTCCACACAGCCAGCCTTCTCCTTGTAGAAGACCATGAGGCTGGAGGCCTGGTTTGCCCTTGGTAAATCCCTGCTTCTGATTCCAGTTGTATTTCTGTTGTTCCTGTGCCTGGAAAGGGTTTCTAGGAAGATTTGCTCCACAGCTTTCCCTCAGGCCAAGGTGAGGCTGACTCGCTGTAGTTCTGGAGCTGATCTAAACATGGGCACAACATTTTAGCTATAAAAAACAGTTACAACCCAAAGTAATTGCAGGAACATCTACTTCATGTAAGGATTACCACCAGCTCACTCTCTTGCTGCTGTTACTACTGACTGGCTTTTTTAGAACAGAAGTCATTCATTACCTTGTGAAATCCTCTGCAAAGATGTGATGCCAAATCAGTTCGTAACTGTGAGGCTTGGGAACAACAGTGTGTAATGAAGGGCTGCCAGAGGAGTAAATAGTATTGGAAGAATTTTCTTCAGGCAAGCAATGGTTTAATACACAGTACAAAGTACAATTGAGTTACTTGATGCTAATATGCTAATCACTTCTGCTTCTCTTTGTAGCTTTATGTGGTCTTTTGAGAAGATTCACAGAAGCATCGCACACATCTTCCAGGGCGAGCTGGTGGCCAGCTTCGACGAAGAATTCCGAATTCTGTTTGCACAGTCAGAACCCCTTGTTCCTCCAGCCAATGTCTTGGCAAAGGCAGAGAACGCATTTGCCATGGCTCCCTTTGGCAGTAACATGCCCTTCTTTCCAAAAAAAGCCCCCCTGATGTTCCAGAGGGATGACAGTCTTTTCCCCTCCTTCATGGACAGAGTTGATCCCGACAGATATTTCCTGTCAAATTTCAGGCGGGACGACATGCTGCGCCACACCGTGGAGGGGTCGGCCATGCGGATGTATAAAAAGGTAGAAATGGAGAATTCTCAGATGGATCCTGTCAGGGGTTTTCTCCGTTCCAAGCAGTTGGAGTTGGATGCTTTTAAGAGACACAGTTTTGCAGAAGGAACGTTTGAAAATTTTGCTTCTTCTAAACAGTATGCCCGGCAGATGTTCATGAACAATATGGATGAATTTAAAATCCAGTCTAGTCACTTTCAGAAGGATCAGTTCTACCAGTACCAGTTTGAACATCCCCATCTTCCTGGCAGACCTCAGGGACTCTTTGACAGAATCCGGGGTGGCAGGCCAGGATTCAACGAACTGGAAGACTACGGAGAGGGACCCCGATACCCTGAACTCGAATCCAATTTTCCACAGGAGGGTTTCCCCCTGAGGCTGGATTACGTACCCTCAAATTCTTCCCGGGAAGTGAGACATGGCTCTGATCAGCTGAATCCCGCAGGCAATGGCCCAATGGGAATGATGTTAAGGAGGCAGAATATAGGACAGAAATTTATTTGCCAGACTTCTCCTACCCAGAAACAAAGCCTGGAACAACGCCTGTTCTTACAAGACAAAGATGAGGACCAAGATGAAGACAAGAATACACAGGAAAACAGAACAGGTTTACGTAACTGGAGGATTTCTTCATATCTTAGTGCCTACCAGTCCGAACCAGAAGAAGGTCTCCCAATGCCTATGGAATCAGAGGCATATAATGATGTTCTTGGTGACACCCTCACAAAGCAGCCCACCGATCTCATCCCAGCCTTCAAATCCCCTTTGTCTTTTAAGCCTCTGGGAATCGAAAGTGCCAAAGAATTTGCAGATCCTGATAGAGTAGGTGAAGAAACCCCTATAATGAAACAAGATGCCTTTAGGTCCAGAATAAATCCTTTGATCCAGAGGAGCTCGAGACTCAGGTCCTCTCTGATTTTCAGTGCTGCCAAGTTAGATCAGCCCAACACCACAATAGAGAAGGTTCAGATGATCCAAAAAGAGCAAATGTCCAGTGAGTTAACAAAGGACAGTGAAACTATAAAGACAGCCACCTCATCAAAAGTGGCAGAACTGTTAGAGAAGTACAAAGCTGTGGGCAAAGACACAGAGCGAGCTACAGTCACTCACACCAAAGCTGTTTCCAGTTACCTACAGGAAGAATCACAGAACACCGAGAAGAAATGTACCAAATCCGTGCAATATAAGATCCTGGAGAGTAGGGTACTGGACTCCAAAGACTCCTGCAGTACATACAAAATGCACGGAGAGGCTGACAGAGCATTCGGAATGTCCTCATCAACCCCCCAGCTTCTCGACACATTGAGTAAAGATCCCCTTTCACATATCAGCACTAAAGTGGACAAATTATCATCTCGGTTTTACCCCATAGAGAGTAAACCTGCTCTTCCAGAGAAGGAGAGTCTTATATTTGTAGGAGACACTCAGAAATTGACTCTTCCAGAGAAGAAGGAAAGGGTGACATTCAAAGAAGACACTCAAAAATTGGTCAATACAGAAATGAAGAAGCCACAGATTAGGACAAGTACCACATCAGTTCTTGAAAATTTATCTAGAAGTCAAGGATCTGACAGCTCTATCAATAAATCTGAGGAAGACTGTTCAAAACAAGAACAAAATCCAATGGAGTTTTTAAGAAAAGGGTCACTGCGGCTGAAGCAGTTTTTGAACCCGAAAGGCGAAAAGAAATTGGAGGAGGAGGCCACTTCTGAGAGTGGAAAATCTGATAAGCAGGCTGTGGTTCTCAAACGATCCTCTCTAGGGGACTGTCAGGAAATGATGGAGGAAGAAAAAACCCATAAAATTACAACACCACTTCCTCCCAAAAGCAGCCAGCCAACACAGGGGAGATTTCCTTCATCCACTGCTAACATCCTCTACAGCAGCAACCTCCGAGATGATACCAAAGTGATTTTGGAACAGATCTCTGCAAACAGTCAGAAGAACAGAGCTGAACTGGCCAAACAGCTGCCATCCACTAGTAATCCAGATCTTTCTAAATCAACTACGAGCTTGGAAAGGAAAGGTGAGAAGGAGAAAAGCTGTAACATCCACAGGTCAGAGAGTTTTGGGAGCCAGAAACGAAACCTTCAGCGGCAACCATCAGAGGATAGAGATACTCTTCTGAAAAAAATGGAGAATATGCGGAAGGAGAAGCGAGTCTACAGTAGATTTGAGGTCTTCTGCAAAAAGGATGAGCATACAAGTCCAAGCGAAGAGGAGTATGACACAGATGCCAAGGACAAGAAGATGGGAAAATTCATGCCCAAAATCCTGGGGACCTTCAAGACCAAAAAATGATCACCGAAATACTATTTAATTCCATATAATCACTCATTGGCAAAGGGGAATGAGGAGGTACCTTGTTTATGATGGCTGTAAGCACTGTAGGCAATACTCTTCCTGGTTAGTGAGTGGAAGTATGTTCAGCGTTAGACTCCTACAGCACAATTTGCCCACTAAAGTCAAGTGGTACCAGGCAACCTTATCACAATTATGTTTCAAATAAAGTTATTAAATTGCCAAGATGCTTAAAACAAAGAAATAAAGTAAGAGTCTCTTTATGTTACGCTTAGGGCATGTTTTCAGCTGACAAAACAATTCCACTTTCAGAAGGAAAACATTAAAAATACAAAATTCATTACTGAATTCAGGAAAGAAAAACACACTCAGACACACATGTATGCACATTAACTGGAAACAGTGTTTAAAAAATAAATGTTTCTCAGGTACAGATATCTTTTCTTTGTATCTAATAACGAATCCAGTACAGGAGGCACCTTTTTGAAGGTTTACAGGAGGAAAAAACATTGTGAACAACTTTTTGCCCTTATCTATGGTAATGGCCTTGTCTATCATTACCCTCTCAGGTTTCATCTTTACCATTTTCTAAGCCTATTGCTTCTGTTTTGTTACTTACTGGTTTGCTTCCTTTTCTATAATGCAAGTATTGCTTTAGGGAGTGAGCTGAAAAATGCAGCTGAAAGGCCACAGAAAAGGAAATGGACCTGCTATTAATGGAGAAAGACCTGTTTTTTAGGACTCCTTTTGTTGGGAGCTTGATTAAGCATCCAAAATTCTGAGTTGGCCAAGTAGTAACCTCCTTGACAGTGAAACACCAGTTCATTAAGTGATTGCAGGGAGGAGAGGGCCTTCTTTTGCTGGCACATCTTTCCCTGTGAAGAAGGGACTCCCAGGGGAAGGTACATGGCTGCTGGAAATGTCAGGCTCAGAAGTGTTTTATCTCATGTAACTTCCCCATAGTGGGTTGGTATCAAGCTCAGCCGTGCAGCTACACAACAGCACAGATCAGCTGGTGGGTCCAGGCTGTTGTGTTCCAGCGTCTGGCAGAACAGGAGGCAGAGGCTATCAAGAGGACGCTGTACATAATATTTAGTTACTGCTGTCTGGAATCTCTCTGCTTGGCATCCAGGAGGACTGCCAAATGGGGATTTTTGTTCTTTTCCTGATCTTTATGCTGTAGTCTAATAACATGCCGGGGAAGGATGCTCTCACGTGGAACCAGGCTTCTCAATTTCTCATTCCCATTAGCCTGGGTTTCATGGTTACCCCCTCGTGACACCAGCTGCAAGCTCAGCAACGCAGTCCAGGTACTGGTGGACAGATGGAGGCAAGAAGCTTGTGTCAGCGCCTGAAGGTAACTTTAGCAGGGTCTTTAGAACTTCTGCTTTTTTTTTTTTTTTAGGATGCCAGCTCCCATGGAAGCAGGCTTTATAGAACTTAGCAGGCTTTATGTAATTTACGTATCTGTAACAATTAATGGTTATTTTACTGTTCACTGAAAACCTCGGGAAATGAATGTGCAGAAAGATACATTGTCTGATCTGAAAAAAAATTAAGCTAATTTCCATAATAATACAGATGGTTTTAAAAATCTGCAAGAATCAAGAAATAAGAAGGTAAATCTAGAAATAAAGTTGAGAGGAAAAAAGAAGAAAAAAAAAAAAAGGAGGGAAGAAGCAGCCAAATTTGGAAAAAAAAGCTGAAACAGATTTCTTATGCTTATTCCATATTGTAATAAATGTTCTCCATTTCAGATACATATGTACAAATTCATAAATGAATGATGTACATTTTGTCTGCTCTTAGTAATGAAACAGATTCAGTTATTGGTGGGTCCCAAAATGAACTGTAATGATCAATACGGTTGTCCCCCACTAGATGATCTAGAGATTATTTTACTCTAGAGTAAGATGGGCTGTATAGACATATATCCCATTGTATATATGCCAGCCCTGTTTTGTTTAATTCTTACTCACATCATTCTATACTTCCCCCACCCTTCCCAAACCTGCCTGCTCCAGCATTGGTCTGTAACAGACAGGTTAGAAATCTAATTATTTCTATAGTCACAGATTACATTAACATTTTAGATTTTTGCTGTATTTGTTTAGATTTTTATAATTTTCTCTTGCTCGGCCTAGTGGGCTCAGTGTAAAAGGATGTTCCTGACCATAATTAGAATGACTCATCTCTTCTAGTGATGTTGTAGGTGTATACAGATATTGCTAACTAATTCGCCTGGTAACAGCAAAAGCCATTTTAAGAATAAAAAGTTAGTGTTACAGCCCATCACGTCTCAGTCTGAGACTCGGTTTGCAGATCTTGGATGCTGCGTTGTATTGTCAAATTGCAAGGTGCGAGACTGTTGGTGGACGCCACAACCCTCAATTTAGCAGAGGTGGCCTTTTCCAAGCATGAGAACTGGTGTCTCGGACTCACAAGAGCCAACGTGGGGCTCAGAGCGTTGCCGACATCATATATTGACCCTGTCGCTGCCATTTCCGATACCTACCTGTCCCTGAGACAGACAGAAAATGCCTATTTTATGGATAACCCAGAATAAACCAGGGCTTCCCTGTCAGATGCATTCCCAGCTCCCTGGTATTACAGACTGAAGTGATGACACCTGGTACCACAAGTGAACATACTATTTTTTTTTACTTGACTGGACTCTGGTGTTTAGATACTAAAAGAGAAAAGGGACATCCTATCAATGGCAGCAGTACTCATATGTAGGAATTTAGTGTGTGAATCCCCTCTGTAACTGTAGTCCCAATGTTCTGGAATAACAATCTTTTATCACAGGTGAAGTAAAATTTTAGGGACCGAGAATAAGAACTTCAAGTTAATGAGGAGAATGTATCAAAAATCAGCATTAAAACAGGAATATAGTTTTAAAGTTTTCTATAGTCCCACTGTTGCCTGATAACATCTTCATGATGTTTCTCTTGGAAAATTGCTTTCTGAAAGGAAAAAAATAATTTACCATATTATTAATTGAACAAGATACCCCTGTATTTTTCCCCCTTTCACACACAGCAGACATTGATTGAAAGAAAAAGAAATGAAATATTTATTATTACAATATTACACAGTAGGTTAGCTACTAAATATTGTAGCAGAACCCACCTATACTTAAAATGCTTTTCTACTTGACTTTAATGAAAATAAGTCACCACTGATTATGTTCATTTACCCCAGAAGAGCCATAGAAATTACTGGAAAACAAAATTAAAGGCTTTAAGACTATCTGTCAAGAGTTTAGTCTTCAGAGAACAGTTAGTTACCTGTTCTGCTAAAAAAAACAATTAAAATCCACATTAGGCAATGCACCTGAAGCTGCTAAACCACCATAGAATGGGTGGGATCATCCAGTGCCACCCCCTGCCCTGGGCAGGGACACCTCCCACCAGAGCAGGTTGCTCCAAGCCCCCTCCAACCTGGCCTTGAACCCCTCCAGGGATGGGGCAGCCACAGCTTCTCTGGCCAGCCTGGGCCAGGCTCTCACCACCCTCACAGCAAAGAAGTTCTTCTCCAGAGCCCATCTCAATCTCCTCTCTTTCAGCATCAAACCCTTCCCCCTCCTCCTATGGCTCCCCTCCCTGATCAAGAGTCCCTCCCCAGATTTCCTGGAGCCCCTTTAGGGACTGGAAGGGGCCACAAGAAGGACACAGGGGGCTTTCTGGGCTGCCAGTGCAGGTTGCCGGCCCATGGCCCGCTTTTCTCCCCCCAGGTTCTCCAAGCCCTTCTCAGCAGGGCTGCTCTCCATCCCTCCACCCCCAGCCTGGGCTGGGACCGGGGGTTGCCCCCACCCAGGGGCAGGACCCTGCCCTTGGCCTGGTTGAACCCCATGAGGGTCACACAGTCCCTGAATATGTCTAAATGCCCTGAATAGTCTCTGTGTGTCCAAATACATTCAAGTATCAGAATATTGCAGTTTTCTGTAGTTTTGTGCTATAATTCAAATGAGGAATATTAACTGACAGTATTAATTGTTCTCATGGTATGGGAGCAAATAGTGCTACGCCCTTGTCTGGTCAGACTCGAAGGCAAAGGGATTAGATTCTCTTCCCTGTTGTTTTGTCCAGAGGAAAGCAGTACATTGTTCCATGCAATGAATAAAGCATTTCCCCATCAAATGCCTGTTTTATTGTGCTCTCACTTGCCGTTACTGTGGCTCAGGGACTGATGAGATGAGCTGTACCTCACCTGATTAGAGCACTCCCATATTCACTGCTGCTGCTGTTGGGAGGACTTTGATATTGGAAGACTCTGCAGCGCAGATTTGCATATGGTTCCATAGGCCTGGGAGTAACTGCCCATTGATGCTTTTGGATCACCAGCCGTTCCCATATTTGCAGTAACCTGGAACATCTTTTTACTGGGCTTCAGAAAGGGATGAACATCTTTGCTGGGAAACTGAGTATTTCTTGGATTCTGTGTCAGAAAGAAAAGCTAAGATAGTCAGTAACCTGTAATTGACTTTCTAAAACACAAAACACAGATTTTGCTTCAGCTGAGGAGTAGGACAGATCATTAACATTATATGAATAATAAACAAAATATAGTCTGTTCTGTAAGATCAAGAATAGGATGGTGAGAATGATGTGGCATAAGTCATTTTAACTGATAAAAAATTATTAATTTAGTCATTTGCTGAGCAATATGTCTTGCCTCTCATTTAAGTATCTTTACAAAGTTGCAAATTAAGATATTTTGTGTCTATACAGTTTTGGTCCATGAAAAGCTAAGGGTTTGTTTGGGTTTTTTTGGTAGGATGGCTACTCACATTGTAAAGGTTCTGTACACTCGTAGGAGGTGGCCGAGTGTTTGCATTTGCCCATGTGATTTGTCTCCCCAGTTTCCTGTTGTTGGAGATTCTGGCCTGTTGAAAAGGTGGCGCAGAACAGTTCCTGAGCACAGCACCAGAATTTGCATTACCTGCAGAAGAAAACACGTGAGAAAAGGAAAATCACGAGGACACAGAACACACTGACTGAGGCAGGGACAGATCATAAAAACTGAGTCAGCCCCTCCCACCTCTCTTCATCTCACAAACAGAACAAAAATAGTCAGAATAAAATTAGAATGTAGTAGCAAACAAAACCAGCTCAGAAGGGCATGGAGAAAAATAACAGCAGTAGAGAAGCAAAGAGAAAACAGAAAAGAACATAGGGTCAAGACTGAGGCAGGAGAGGGCCAAAGAGAATGTCATACGCTCAAAATTCATTCAACAGCTTTTTGTGCTTATGTCATTGTCCTCCCACACTTTCACCCTCTCGTTTTGCCATGTATATTACCCTCATTTCTTTTTCCCCACTCTTTTTCCCCCATAATAGTCCTTGTGGTGGGTAGGAGGGCAGTACCTACTTTGGACACCAGTGTGTGTTATGGGATTGTATATCACATGGATCTTTGATCTCTGACATAAATCTTCACTCTGGGTGGACACTTCTGGCTGGACACCAGCTGTAGTTCCTACGTGCACATGTGAAGTTTTTAGAAGAGGTGCTGTTGGTTCTCTCTGGCCTTTCCTGGTCGGCGTAGTCAAAGAACTGGAATTTGGAAGAAGCGGCCTGGATTCAGACTGATTGAGCTGAATGTTTTCCCTCTGCACTTGCTCCTTTAAATTGCTATTTAATTTCTTTTCAAGGATCATCTACAGAAAGGAGAAGTTGATTAGACTTAGCACAGCTACACAGCAGAGCAGAGGAACAAAACACAGGAATGAAGAGAAAGACTTGCAAATACCTGCAATTTATTTAATGAGATAGGTAACAAGTGTAATTTTAAAATTAATTTATGGTTGGAAAGAAGATAGTAAAAATATTCTCATTGGATAGAAAGAATAGGATCACACAGGAGTTATTATGGGGTGTTTAGGTTAGGAACCAAAAGCAGGAAAAGAGAGGGGTTTAGGTGATGTGGGGAGGAACGAGCATGGGAAACAGGGGGTAAGAGGTACAAACCCAGCCAGTTGTGTTTAAATAGCTGGCTGGTCAATGTGCTCGTCTGGCCCTGCCCTGCATCTGAGCAATGCAGTTTGCTCCATGTTCTTATTGAATTCTTTCTCTTTCCTGGAAGAGAGGCTGTCTGTTCTGTTGTGTGTGCATGCGGGTGTGTCAGATTCAGGTCAGAGGGCCGCGTGTCCACGGTGCAGGCAACCGCAAAGAGCACAGGCATGTAAGTGTGTGATCCCAGCACAGACTGCTGGGTGAACAGTTCAAGGGCCAGGGAGCAAGGGAGTGAACAGGTCTCCAAGGGCCATCTCTGGGTGTGACAGCCCCTGTGTCTCTCTAGGAGAGAGAGCCCTGCAAGTGGGGGGTGGACATCAGCTGAGGGACCTGCAAAGTCTGTACAGTCTGTACCAGCAGCTGGAGCAGGGCTGCAGCCCTGGGGACCTCTCCATCCAAGTGCCAAGGACTGAGGAGACTGGGGTCCAAGGGTCAGCCATGGGGCAGACTGAGACCGGCTGCTGCGGGGGATCCACCTCCTATGTACGTGTCTTTATTCTCAGGAGCGGACGTCATCTTGCTCAGCCAGAGAAGGGAGCAGGATGAGGCTGCTGGTGCTGTCTATGTTTGTGAGTGCTCCAAATGCCTGTTTGTGACCCATGTGGTCAGCCATGTATATATTATACATGTATATATGTAGTGTGTATGCTTTCCTGTGTGCGTGTGCCTGCTGAGAATACATTTTCACACTGGCTGGACCTGAGGACATGGAGTGGCAGCAGCCTCACCTCTCTTGGACTCTTGCATCCAGCACAATGTATTACAGTCTTTTTCGTACATCATGCTTTACAGGCTTTTCTTTTTCCCAGTGGGAATCTGGACTTAAAGACCTCTCAAAAATTATGTATGGAATTGACTGGTAAGAAACACCAAGATGTAACTGTAAACATGTATGGAAACCCTGGGGAACGAAAATAGAAGAAAATGACAGAATTCAGTAAGTGGTTGCAAGAATGGCAGGTTACCTGGAAGATCAGGATTTTGGAAAATAGAATAAGATAAAGTACCTCATATAGCTTATTTCGATATTCTGCCACAGAGAGCTGGATATCATCACCTAAAGGAAGAATCACATCATAATCCAGAGAGGGCTCCCTGGCAGGACAGTGAAACCTAAGAAGATGATAACATATAATGCAATTCACTAAGACTAAAACCAGCACCACAGAATAATATGATGTTTAAAAGGATTATTAAATCATCTACTGTGACCTCTAGTGGAAATAGGGTTAGAGAAAATTAAGAATTAGCTTTGTCTTTTTTTTCTGTCATGCCTATAAAGCAAACTCGTGCCAAGAACAGGTCTATAGCATCTGAGGAAAAACTGCACATTGGTATTATGCTCACCTTTTCACATAAGGATGCTGCAGAGCCTCCTCTGCCGTGAGTCGTTTATCAGGGTTGAATACTAAAAGTTTCTTCAGAAGATCCAAGGCAGGCAATGGAGTAGAGGGTGGAAAAATCTGCTCAAATGTCATTCGCTGCCTAAAAGTGAGAAAACGATAATATAAGTTCCCAGGATCCAAAAGACATATATGGGGGGAAAAAAAAATATCACAGTGCGAGTGTTTAAGCAGCTGGAATAAGGATGTCAGACTGAACAGAATCAGGCTTTCCATGCATGAACCAATGACACCAGATACCTAAACAACTCAGGATAGGAAAACATTCTAATTTTGAGAAAGTACACATAACAATAGCTTGGACTGTAGGCCCAATCTCGTTTTGTTTTGTTATTCCCAGATCATGTCATTGGTATTATCTTTTTTTTTTTTTTTTTTTTTTTTTATTTAAACTTTACATCCCTTTCTCTAGAGGTAGCTGAATCCGCAGAGAACAGGTATCATTTCAGCTGGTGAAATTCACTGGAAGGTGAACTTCATGGGTACTTTGTCAACACCATACAGTACATTGTTGACTTCTGAGACACAACGAACTACAAGGCTTACCGGGAACTCATGCGGTTAATCACTGAGGCCTTGTAATCTGATTGCATCGCCAAAATATCTGCAATAAGGAGAACATACTGTTAATGCCCAGATTAGGATTCCCAGCACTACACAGTTTCTGAAGTAAAGCAAATATTTGATATTAATATAGGAAATTATCCTAATAAAACTCAATGGGAGATCTTATGTAAGAAGGATGGAATATTTACTTATAAATTTTCTAACCTGATTTTCTCAATTCCTATTCTTTCTATCATAGATTTGATAAACTTGCACTCATACTCACATACACAGAAGCACCAAGATATCTGAGGCCAAAGGATCTGGCCAGGATCACTTGTGTGGGACAAGCGATACCAGCTATTGATTTCCTCATCACATCCACTGGGGTTCTTTTTGATTGGTGACAATGAGCTGTTTTCTCAATGTATCTGTCATACTCTCAAAGAGTCAACAGTTGCAATGGAATGGTTTTTTTGTTTCAGAATCTTGCTTATTTGGTCTCCATAAATTCTACACAAAGTTGCTGCTCATGGCTGGTTCTCCTTGTTTGCAGCAGTGTTTGGAACAAGTGTTTTTTCTCACTTGTTTGGCTAAATGAAAAGGAAATCGTGCCTGCAATATGCTGCAGCCTTGCTGCCACTGTCCCCAGGGAAGATATGGGACCTTCTGCTAATGAGTCATTTGTCCTGTGGTCTTATCTTAGCATGCAGACCTTCTGTTTATGACATGATCAACACATTCTTTAACTGTACTGCTGAGAATGGGACAGCATTTTTTGTTATTAGAAGAGCTGGCTATTCTTCTAACTTCTGTTTTGGTATTTTCCACATGCATTTCCATTTGTACTTCATTCATAGCAACCAAAAATAAAAAGAAATTTAAGCTTGAATGGAATTCTCCAGAACAGTGATGTCCGTAAACTGAAGGTAGTTATTTTTCTAAAAAATATTTGCTACATCAGTTAGAACACATCAACACATTGTAAAAGTTTATAAAGCATATGAGTTTCGGTGTTAGACCGGAACTCATAGCAGACAATCATCATAGTAATCCCTTTTGTATTTAACATATATTCACTCCAGCCTTCACTTCTGTGTTTAGATTTCCAGAACAAAAAGTCCAATTTACCTTTACTATGCAAGTCCCACTGAACTATGATACTCTGTTTTAAATTATTATCCTCCTATAAATCTCAAAATGTTTTGAAGGCCTGGGTCTTGCTTCTTACCTAATCAAGTAAGGGCTTATTTTCCTCAAACACTAACATTTCACAATTAAGTCTTTAATTTCCTTGGAAAGACGTTAGAATGACTCACCAGAGATAAATTCTTCGCTGATCCATTTGGGCTGCATTCTTTCCCTCTTTTAATCTCTTCCCTAAACACCTTTCCCTGTAGAAGAGTCCTACCTTCTGAGGATGGGGCAGGAATGACCCTCAAGATCTGCTCTATTTGATTCATTGTTGATGTTCCAGGAAAAAGAGGTTTCCCAAGTAGCAGCTCTCCCAGAATACAGCCAATGCTCCACATGTCTACACCTTTAGTGTAGCTACAAATAAGAACAGAACAGAGTTAGGACTAAATTAAGCAAACGTTTTTCTGTAGCTGATAGTCACATCATCTACATTAGCTTATTTTGCTGGAAAAACAAGCTTGGTGACTCCTTGAATCCAAATGCTCACAGATTTTAACTATAAAGTAAATGAGATTCAGGCAAGCATAAAACAGAAAGGAGATTTATCCTACTAAAAGTCTAATATATTTCCTTTTATGGTTTCCCAGAGTAAAGGTAAATTCCATGACAAGGTAATATATGACCAATGCTGAAGACAGAAGGTGCTGCTTGAAAAAAAAGGACTTTCCATGGAATAATGTATCTAGAAAGTAGTTACAATTACTTAAGCAAAGTAAATACCAAACAATGGGTAAGTGACAGTTTGCAGAACATCCATATTTCAAATTTATAATACTCACCTAACTTAAATTTATTTTCTTTACTGATCACTAAGATTTGTTAAATTTAAGTCAGAAGAAGGACTAAGCCTGACTAACAGGCAGCTGATTTAACATTTTATTACAGAATATTTTCTGAAGGTCTATGAAAAAACTCTCCTTAAATCTGGAAAAGAGGACTAAGATACTCAACCAAATTTTGTAAAGATGCAGATTTAAGGGGAGAAAGAATAAGTCTAGTGGGAGAAAAGATGACAAAACAGGTGAGATGATAAAGTATGTAAATGGACAATCTAAGAAGCCAGGAAGGAAGTGTACATGTAATGAGAGATTTTTATGAGTTTTTGCAGAACTGAAGTTTAAATGCATACTGAGAAAACAGACTGCTGACATGACATTGCATCTAGTGACATCTAAAATGAAAATATTTAAGACTTTTAGACAAAAAATCTTTCCCAGTGGTGAAGAAATTAGAGAATCCCATCCCTTCGCTCATATTAAGGAGTTACCTCTGAGAGGAAAGTAAGATCTCAGGGGCTCGGTACCAGCGTGTTGCCACGTATTCTGTTAGAGGAGGGTTACCTTGGTCCTCATTCATCTGACACAGAGAACGGGCCAGGCCAAAATCACAAAGTTTAACAAAGCAGTCTGCATCCAGCAAGATATTTGAAGGCTGAATTGAACAAAGGAAAATTAATAAGCTTTTTACTTTCTGAATGGCAGAAAATTATTATCAAGGTTCTTTTCATAATCTCATTCTTTTCACACATTTCCATTTAGTGTTTAAGAGAAAACTTGTGTGCAGGATAAAGACTATGACTAAGAAATATACCTTCTGATCTCTGTGAATAACATTTCCTGAGTGGATGAATTTAGTTGCCTTCAGGAGTTGGTAGAGAATGTAACACTTGTGGATATCTTTCAGCAAATTCCCCTTCTTAATCACAGCATGTAAATCTGTCTCTGTAACATATTACGTCAGTAATATATTTACATCAGTTAAGGATTACCAAGTTGTGAATATAAGTTCCTCAAAGCAAGGCCAGAATAGACCATTGTCCAAAATGTAATCTTTCAAGTGCATCCTCAACAGAAGTTAACACTGTAATTATTAACAGTACTGAAATCTCTCTGTATTATAAGTTTGACTTGCAGCTTATGCTACAGTAACTGTTCTATTATTCCATACTTTTAATATAATAAAATCGCACAGTCTCTTCCATATCTGTCTCTACAAGACTTCTAAATTGTTGCTTGCTGCCATCTTTCTTTCATCTCAACCAGCCAGTTCTCATATAATTATTACTCCCTTAAAAATTTCACTGCTATTCCCATGTAATCACAACCGGTATATATATAAAGCCTGTACTGCTCCACTTACGCGTCTACTTACATGAATATTCATGTAAGTCATCAGCACACTACTATCAAAGTAGAAAACAAAGATAACTGATAAGAGAGGCTGGATTTAAACAGCTGATGCAAAGCTAATCTCACCCATGGACTCAAAGATGAGGTAGATGTCCTTGTCATTCTGAGCTCGGATAACATCAAGCAGCTTGATGATATTTGGATGTTCTCCAAATTCCTGCAGAGGTAAGAGACTCAACTGTCAAAATCAAGTGTCTTGCTTGTGAATCATGAAAAAGGACAACAGCCTGTTTGATTTTGCATTATTGTCTAAAACAAATATTAACATGCTATTTCTTTCATTGTGCTTCTACTGAAATAAACAAATAAATAAAAAGATTTAAGCTTTCTCCACAGTATGAAAACAGCCAATTAATCTAAAAAAAACCCACTCTGTTGTCCGAGACATTAGTTCTAAAAATTCCTTTATAACATTTTGAATAAAATCCAGTCAACTTTATGCATTTGATATTTCCTAATGAAGGCAAATAATTATTGTGGCAGTGAAAACAGAACAAAGTTGCCATCAACATTCATAATTTAAAACCCAACTGACCAGAAAGTGTCTTTGAGGGCTGACTGAGACACTCTATAGGCTGCCTTGGTTGAACTGACTGTAATGGGAGATCAACAGTCAGCGTACAAAGAGATACCCAAATGCAGGTATCTTAAGCCGGAGGTGAAGACCGACAATACTGTCAAGATCATTTACTTCATTCTCAGTCTTAACAACTTCTTAACAGAACTGTTTATTTATGTTCATTTCCTATTTAAACTTGACAGTCTTAGGAAACACCTCTTCCTATGAGCTCTGCCTTGCTTGTGTCCTTAGAAAATCATAGTTATAACAACATTATTACTATTCAAAAACATTGATGTTTCTACATGGTAAGTCTGTGGAAGAATGGACAGATAATTTTAACATCACTGCCACTGATAAGGTAATTAGGTATAGCATGCAGTCAGTTACATCAAAACAAGAGCAGCCTTAAGGAATTCCATGCTGAACTTCCCTTTTAGCTTTACTTTGATTATTTCAAGTGGTCAAGTTGCTTCCCACATGATGGAGGAAAAAGGTTTTGGCACATAAATCTCTGCCACCCCCCAGCCCCACCTCTGAATAATGGAATTTATAATTTAAGAAAAACACTTATTTCCACAAAGAAATAAGAAGTGACAGAAAGTTCAAGTCAATATGGTGATCAGACATACTGCTAAAAATGGTGAAAGATCAGGGCTTTTCTCAAAGGAAAAATAAGACCAACTTTCCATTTCATTCAGGTGCTTTTGCCCAGTCACAGAAAGGCTGTTTGCCAAGATGGTGCAGAAAATAAATTCATAGAGTTGTCAACCCTGAACATTGCATTTTGAAAAAGAATGGGAAGAAAATATGTGAACGATATCAGAGGGAAAGGGGACATTACCTGCAGGAACATAATCTCTCGAAATGTTCTCTAGAAATAAACAAATAAAAAGGTTTGTTATCACGACAGAATAACAGAACAGAGTATGGACTCCCAGTGAGAGGGTTAAACCCATTCTAATCTCTAAAGCAGAGAAAACCCTTCTGTGGTAGACAGGGTAGGAAAAACTCCATTGCTCCCTAGTGAGTCACAAGCATGCTCTCTGTGCTGAGACACAACAGCGTAACACCACAAGGGAGAGTGACATTGTGCGTGCATATGAAGGCTTTTTTTCCTCAGGAATATCAAACAGTATTTTGTAGATAACATGATATACAAAGCTTGACATTTATTGCTCTTTTTGATCCTAATACAGCTGTACACTGTATTATTATATGCATAATTGTCAAACAAATAACATCTTTCAGAGACATAAATCCTGAAAATATCTATGAACTCCCACAACATCTTTCAGGACACATTAGAACAATGATTTCTCACCTGAGCATCTGTTCTGTTCCTGAAAGCATCAAAAATCTTTTTAACAGCCACTATTTCTCCTGTCCTGCGATCGATTGCTTTCCATACAATGCCATAAGCCTAGGGAGAAAGAAGGAGAGGTGAACAGTGTACTATGGCATCTTAAGCACAGTGCAGACCGCCAGTGTGGAAGTGGAACTTATTCAACAGAGGGACTGAAAGAAGAGGTAATCACAGCTACCTAGAAGAAAGAGAGATTAGACCAATGAGCAATATTTGGTTGAGTTACAGACTACGAACATCTATACTGAGCCTGACAAAAGGTCCACAAGGCCAAGTATCCTGACCCCTAAGGCAGCCAGCAGCAGATGTACATGCTCATGGAGTGCAGGGTCCTGCACCTGGGTCAGGGCAACCCCCGGTCTTAGCCCAGGCTGGGTATGAAGGGATGGAGAGCAGCCCTGCTGAGAAGGGCTTAGGGATGTCGGAGGGGGAAAAGCTGCCCATGGGCCAGCAAACTGCCCTGGCAGCCCAGAAAGCCCCCTGCATCCTGGGCTGCATCCCCAGCACTGTGGCCAGCAGGGCGAAGGGGGGGTGGATTCTGCCCCTCTGCTCTGCTCTGGGAAACACAACCCCCCCCCAGTGGGTATGAAGGGATGGAGAGCAGCCCTGCTGAGAAGGGCTTAGGGATGTCGGAGGGGGAAAAGCTGCCCATGGGCCAGCAAACTGCCCTGGCAGCCCAGAAAGCCCCCTGCATCCTGGGCTGCATCCCCAGCACTGTGGCCAGCAGGGCGAAGGGGGGGTGGATTCTGCCCCTCTGCTCTGCTCTGGGAAACACAACCCCCCCCCAGTGCTGCCTCCAACATCAGAAGGACGTGGACCTGTTGGAGTGGGGCCAGAGGAGGCCAGGAAGATGCTGGGAGGGCTGGAGCCCTTCTGCTGGGAGGACTGGCTGAGAGAGTTGGGGGGGTTCAGCCTGGAGTAGAGAAGGCTCCAGGTAGAATTTATTTTGGCCTTTTAAAGCTTAAAAGGAGCTTATAAGAAATTTGGAGAGAGACTTGTTACCAAGGCCTGTAGTGACAGTATCATGGAATCACAGAATCATTTAGGTTGGAAAAGACCTTTAAGAACATATTCAACTGTTAACCCAGCACTGCCAAGTCCACCACTAACCCATGACCCCTAGCACCATGCCTAGACATCTTTAAATCCCTCCAGGGATGGGGACTCCACCACTGCCCTTGGAAGACAAGGCTTGACAACCCTTTCAGGGAAGAAATTTTTCCTAATATCCATCCTTAAGCTCCCCTGGCGCAACTTGAGGCCATTTCCTCTCATCCTATCACTTGTTACTTGGGAAAAGAGAAAAGAGACATCCCAATTGCCAGCAGTGTAGTATTATAGCACTTATCTGAGATATTTATACTCCAGCTGTTTGTACTTCCTGATGCACAGCAAAGAACCAGAGCGCATACTCCAGGACCACGCATGTTCTTGGGAATTCTGCCTCAACGTCTCTATTTGAGTATTTAAGCATGAAAATCACTCAACATCACATATTGCAGCTGTTTTACTTTGCATGAGTGTTTAAACGTTAACTGAGCATTTCTGAGTGAGAAATGATCCCATTGTGCAGATGTAAGACATCTCCTAGAATGTGGAAAGTTAAGAATCAAATCTATGACCTAAAAATAAGAAAACTGGATCTGTACCACAAGGGAGATTGAGTAATCACCATTTGCAAGTATCACACAGTAATCCAGAATAGGGAAAACTTAGATAGAAGTTCCTGTTCCCTTAGTAGATAACACAGCTTTTAATTAAAAAAAAAAAAAAAAAACCAAACCAAAAAAACCCAATTTGATTACCCTCACTGCACAGGAACAGCTTATCTCCCTTGCTCTATTTTTTGGGCAGTCCTCACCTGTTTCAGGGACTCCAACAGCCTTTTAAATGCTCAGGTAAGTATATCAGCTGTGTACATATACAATACACACAGAACTTTCTGCATCCAAGAGGCAGAAAACACAGGAGTTTAGGAGACTGGAACTACTTGAGTTAAGAGCTCAACTAGTAGTCTTAATAATGTCAGTGATGCCTAGATGATAGACCTGAAGGCACCAAGCCATTTAAAGACCTGAAAGTCTTTAGTCATGTTTGTGAAAGTCTCCAACCAGAACTCTCAAACAACTTGATATTTCACATGAAATAATAATGTCATTCTGTTCAAAGAACCTAGCACCTTAAAAGATGTAATATACTCCATTCAGTCAAAGGGAGAAAGCTGATAACTAGTAAAAAGATGACAGCAAACTTCAAGTCAGAGACAAACTTAGAATGAAATATAGCCATAAGAAAGATCAGTGTGAATTCAAAAGGAAAAAAACAAAACAGTGTCTTCGAGGACAATGAAGAAGTTGAGCCTCTTTCAAGTTCTCCCTTGTAATTGCACATAAAATACTCAACTACTAGTATCAACACAACTAAACAATGGCAAAGGGCTGCCAGAATAGAAAAGCAGATAAACAGGAAGGGTTTACAGACTGCCTGAGGAGAAAGATCTTAAAAATTAACAATGGCTTGCACATAAAAATATGTAATTTTATGGAGAAGAAATTACTTGATGTGTCATAATACTTGAAGTAATGGAGTTACAGTAAGCATGAAAGAATTTGGCAGGCACAAACAGAATATTCTTTGAGACTGATTCATTTTACTGTAAACCAAGTGTACATGCAAGGTCAGTGCTTTGTGTGGCAGTTCTCCATTAAATTCCAGGAAAAAAAAAACCCAAACTGGTAGGGAATTTAAGGGTGAGATCAGTTTCACATGCTACAACACGACACCTTCCTTTGAAATGTATTTGTGAAAGAACTGTAAGAAGTCACAGGGAGTTAACACTCTAGGATTTTTTTTTTCTCCATTAGGCATAACAAAAGTTTCAAAGTCCAGTTTTTCTTCAACCATACAAACTCTCGGAACCCTAGCACCCAGCGCGGCTCAGGTCGGCGGCCTGCGGCAGGGCCCAGGAGGCCGCAGACACAGGCGCCACCGGGACGGGAGGGCCCGAAGGCAGCGCCGGACGCCGCCGCCCCGCTCCCCGAGCTCCCCCGGGCACTCACCCCCTTGCCCAGCCGCCTCTTGATCTCGTACTTCTGGGCGACGATCGCCTCCACCTCCGGCTCGCTCATGGCGGCCAGCCGGGGCGGCGGGCGACGGGCCCGGCCGGCAGAGCGGCCTCCACCGCAGGCCGCGCTGTTGATCGCGGCTGCTATGGAAACGGTGCCGCCGCACCGCGCATGCGCACGGAGCCCCGAGGGGTGGGGCAGGACGCATAACGGCCTGCGGTGACGTTTGCGGGGCTCGAGGCGCGTTGCGGCCGTTTCCGCTTTCCTTCTGCTTTCCTTCCCCTCCGCCTGTCCTTCCCTCTTCCTCCCTCTTTCTTTCCGCCTGTCCTTCTCCCTTCCTTTGGCTTGTCCTCCCCTGACGGGCTGCGTGTTATTGCTAATGCCCTGTAACGTACATCTTTCCTTGTGGCAGCACGCTCTGGTTCCCGTAACATCCCTGGTGACAATCTGAGCCAGTGCAGACTAGTGGAGTGCGTGATTAGACTGAAAACTCGCTGAACTGCCAGAAGGGAAGGTTTGTCATCGCTCCAGCCGAGGGTCCATCGCTAGTGGTGTACCCCAGGGGCCAATGCAGGTGCCAGCACTCTAGCTTCTTCATTAATCAGCGGGATGGTGGGCCAGAGCGCAGCCTCGGCAAGTTTACAGGTGGTACAGAACAGGGAGGAGTGGTTGGTGGAGCAGAAGGTCACGCTGCTATTCAGGGTGTATCAGTCAGGCTGGAGAAACAGGCCGACAGAAGCCTTGTGCTCTTCATCACTGGGAAATGCCCAGCCCTGTGCCTGGGGAGGAATAGTCCCAGGCAGCGTTAGAGGCTGGCAGCTATCAGGATAGAAGGCAGCTTGGCAGGAAAGGTCCTGGGGGACACCAAGTTGACCATAAGCCAGCAGATGTGCTTTTGCCAGAAAGGTGGTGAACATCATCATGGGCTGCACTAGGAAGAGCCTTGGCAGCAATTTGAGGGAGGCCATCCTTCCCTTTTACTCCACACTGAGACACCACACCTGGAGTATCACATATGGCTCTGGGCTCCTCAGTATGAGACAGACAGGACTGTGTCCAGCAAAGGGCTACAAAGATGATTAAGGTTTGGAGCATCTCTGATGTAGGGAGAGGCTGAGAGCTGGGATTGTTTAGCCTGTTTAGCTCAGGGAATCTTATTACTGTGTTTAAATATCAGGTGGAGCAGGGGGGGGAGACAGAGCCAGACTGTTCTGAATTTGAAATTTGTGATGGAATTGAAATTCCATTTAATTCCATTTAAATGTATGGATAAAACCTTTTCTTTTTACTGTGACTGTGGTCAAACACTGGAACCGGCTGCACAGAGAGGCTGTGGAGACTCGATCCTTGGGGATACTCAAAAGCCACTGAAAGTGGCCCTGCTCTGTTTGATCCTCCTTTGAGGTCTCTTCCAATCTCAACTAAGGTCAGTTTCTGTTTAAAATATCCCTATGTGAATGTGAAAACTTAGAGCAAGGGTGACCTCTGGTGCCATCGTTGGTGAGGCAGTGGAAATCCAGAAGGATTCAACTTGGAAAGTGAACGTAGCTGCAGTCTATTAGAAACAGAACAGTCTACCTCTTGCTTCTCAAGTGAAACACTAAAGCAAGAAAAGAATGAGGAGAAAGTAAAAATGGATATAAATATATTCAGTGAGTGTATTTTATTCATAGTTAGGACTAAGGGTCAAATACCTCAACTACCTGAGAGGAGGTTGTAGAGAGGTGGGTGGTAGTGGTGGTCTCTTCTCCCAAATGAATGACAGGACCAGAGGAAATGGTCTAAAGTTGCGGCAGGGGAGGCTTAGACTGCATATTAGGAAGAATTACTTTACTGAAAGCGTAAACAGCCTGCCCAGGGAGGTGGTGGAGTCACCATCCCTAGAGGTATTTAAGAAACGTGTAGATGTGGCACTTCAGGGCATGCTGTAGTGGCATGCTCTAGTGACCAAGATTGTAGGGATTATATTTGTGTCTGTATGGTTGGACTCTGATCTCAGAGGTCCTTTCCAACCATGATGATTCTGTGATTCTGTGAACAGCTTAAAGGACTTGGCTGCTTGCATCTTTATTTTCTCTTTGGAGACCAGCAGAAGGTAAAATAAATCTTTGTCATGTAGAAGATATGGGAAAATGTTGCTGAAAGTAAGAGCTAGCCTACACTGGTTCACACTATGGAACCAGTAGATGTAGTTGGCAGTGAAAAGTAACATAGAGATTGCCTCACTATGTCTAAGAATATAATTTGCCCATGGAAAATTACTAATTAATGAAATGACAAAGTCTGATCTCAAAGAGAAAATGTCATTGTTTATTTTGGGATGTGAAGGGATTGCAGTTTCAAATGTCTTAATGCAGATGTCATGCAAGTTAAGGCTGAGGTTACTTTTAAGATCCATTGTCTGGGTTGTGCGCAGAACGTGAGCTACGTAAAGCAGTCCTTCCCTCCACGCACAGAACATTTACTTCCATAGACTCTGTTACCTAACTAATAGTGGCAACAACTGATGGTCCAGCTATGCCTACCAATGTATTGGCATGATTGCAGAGTGGAGAAGGGTTTTTTTAGGTTAATGGACACATTTGGAAGGGCTGTGAGAGCTGTAGGTTTTGCCAGTTTCATTGTGTGCCTTGCGCTGGTGTAACCACTGGCGCCTGCGTGCCATTTCCTGAATGTATTCATTCTCACGAAGAAGCTGTTCCTGCTGCTCTATCAGTTGAACTTTGGTTTCTTTAAGGATTTTTGAGTATTGGATGAGTCTGAGCAGTTCCTGGCGGAGACGCCAATTCTCTGCTTTTACTTGTCTGGTATGCTGAATTAGAGATTGTATTGCTGCTTTTTCGGCTCTCTTGGTGAGAACCTGGATCTTCTGATGAAAGTCTGTCTCACAGTCAGCCTTGGCTTGCAGAAATCTGCTCTTGATTTTGTGCATTTCATCTGAATGCTGTATCTTTGTGACCAACAATTCCTTCTCCAGTTCTTTAATCTTTTTCGCCTGTTCCTGTCGAAAAGATGGGTCTTTGAAAGGCTGCAGGTCTTCAACCTCCTTGTTCATGAGAGAGTACTTTGTCTCCATATTCATCAGAGAATTCCTTAGCTCCTTTTCTTTTTCTGTATACTGTGAGATTAGCTTCTCTTTCTGCGTCCAGACTTGAGACAGATCAGTGTGATTCTGGTCATTTAATGTTATTATCAGATTCTGGCACTTCTGGTTGTGTTTTGTTAGATAAGAGAGGTAAGCGTTGCCCTCATCCCGATTCCGTTGAGCTTCCTTTTCTAGGAATTTATTTTCCTGCAGGAAATGCTCCACTCTTCCCATGTACGTGTTCAGATGTTCAGTGAGAATCTTGTCTTCCTTCTGCAAGTATGATTTCCTCTCTTCAACAAGTATTTCTCTGTTGTTTTTTTCTTTGGATGTATCTCCATTCTTGGTTTTTACTTCTTGCTTATTTTTCCCAGCACGGGCAGTGTCTTGTTTCATCTGCTTTGTCTTGGGTGCCATATTCTACATTGGGGCTGTCAAACTCTGGCAAACTGCAACAGAATGAAAAATCACAAATAATTCTAAGTAAGCACTATGCCTACACTCCTACATTAAGAATTTGCTGGGGTTTTTTAAGCATTCATTTTAGAAGATGATTTGATTGTTTTTATGTGCAGCATTATGTTTTAAAACTGCCAAGACACCTGCAATAAAAGAAGCACAGCTAAGTCCACGATTGATACTAAAGGAAAATGCATCAGTATTAAAGATTCTTGCAGACATAATAAAAAAATGAAGGAGTAAATAGTACTTTGTGTGCCAAATTTCTAAACTACTTATTCAAAGGAGGAACAGTGCAATCAAGGATTTAGAACTGGAGAGAAGTCTGATTAGTGGTTTTAATGAACACTTATTACTAAAAGTTACTTTAGCCTAATATGACTTTTGACCCTTTTTAAAGAAAAGATGTAAAATTCAAGTAGATAGGTTAACAAAATAGAATAAATATACTTAAATTGCCTGTCATAGTAATAGCAGAAGAGGTTCCAAGCTGGCAATACATCAGCTGCATCAGAAGCAGTAAGGCACCAGGAGACATAAGAATGTCTACAGAAATCAGCGCAGTTGTGCTTTGGGAAACAGACTTCAAGAGATAGAAGGGTGTTGCAACAGACAGGTAGTAGAATTGAGTTAATACTAATTGTGTAGTTGGGAAAAAGGCAATTCTAGAGCTGAATGAATGTGTGATAAATTACTAAGTCTGCACGGAAAAACAGGCCTTGCTAAAGTTGGTATTCTACCAAATGTGTTTTAAAAAAAAAAACACTGACCTTTCCTGCTCCTGGGGTCTTCACATATTTTCCAAATAGCTGCTTCTGGCTTGCTGCTCCTGGCTCACCAACAGCATTTGCTGGTAGCCAGATGGCAGCCTCTGCAGAGCGGAGGTGTTGTAAGCTGTGCGTGTCCATGGTGATGAAATGTGCGACGTCACAAGAGAAGCTCTGCGGGGACACCCTGAGCCATTACAGTTCTCTACTGGGTTGTGAGGCCTGCCTGTGACACGCTTTGTTACTTACTGGCATCAATTAAGCAGAAACACTAAGGCAGATTGGCTTATAAGGATATGCTTTATAGCGGCCGCTATATTAATAAGGAAGAAGCCTCCCCTTGCTGTTGGGATGTCCTGAAGGAAAAGATGTGACTGAAGAAGACATGGTCCTCCTTGGGAATTAGGTGCCAGAATCTACTCAAGCATTTCTGGTCCAGGTATTGGGGGTTTCTTCTCAGCACATTGGCAGGCAGTTCCTAGGTCCCACAGAGTTAGGAAGGGGTATGTGTATATGACAATGTTTGTGACATTTGAAAGGCAGGTGTTTGAAATGATTTTTTGCAAATGCAGTCCTCATTTATGCAGGGTTTCTTGTTTTGGAAAGGAAATTAATAGCTTGGGAGGCACTTCCTGCATTTTGTAGGGAAAAAAAGCTGATCCTCATATACATGAGAAATTTTGTTTCTGTAGGTGTTTAACGGTATAAACGTGGCATCTCTGAGGCACAGGGCATGGCATTTCACTGGTTTACTTATCTGCTCTGGCTATTTGTCGCTAAAGTACAACTTTCTAGAAAGGTATCTAATGGATAATGGAAATATATGGAATAATGGAAATAATGGAAAATGTGTGAAAATTAAATTTTTATTTTCTAATTTCAGTTTTACAGGTTCAGATTTTACTGATTTGTAGGTGGTTTCCTGACAAATTAGAGCACCCTTGTATTGGGTTTATGTGGCAAGGTTTTGATGGTGGTGGTGGGGGCTCTGGGTTCGCTTCAGGGGGGACACCAGACACTGGCCCCAGGTCAGATGGAGCCAGCTCCAGACAGCTCCAAGGACCCACTGCTGGCCAAAGCTGAGCCCATCAGCAGTGGTGGTATCACCTCTGGGATAACACATTTAAGAAGGGGTAAAAAATGCCTCACAATAGCAGCTGAGAGAGAGGAGTGAGAATATGTGAGAGAAACAACTCCGCAGACACCACGGTCAGTGAAGAGGGGGAAGGAGGAGGTGCTCCGGGTGGTGGAGCCGAGATTCCCCTGCAGCCCATGGAGGTCCACCCTAAACCCTGCCCCAAACGATCCCAAACCCTGCTACAAAGGTACCACAGGACCAAAACCACCTCCAAAACCAGCCCAGGTCCCCCAAACGCTCCCAAACCCCTGCCCCAGAGTTCCAAACAACCCAGAAACACCCTCAGATGCTGCAGAAGGACCCTGAAAGTCTGACCCAGACACCCCCAAACTCTGCCCTAGGGCTCCCAAATACTCCCTTGCCTCTAAATGCTATTCCAGAACTTCCTCTGGCCCCCAAACCCCTCTGTGCCATGCCTTAGAGCCCCTTGTCATGCCCTAAAGCTACCATCACCCCACAAACCCCTCCCAAGCCCTATCCCAGGGACCCCAATCACTCCCTGATGCTGCCCCACAGGTCCCTCTGATCCCCGAACACCCCAAAGGACTGCCCCACGCCTCCCAGACACCCCACACCTGCCCCTTGGGTAGCCCTGTCTGAGCCATGCCAAGAGCAGGAGCTGCTGGAAGGGTTGTGCGTTGTGGTAGCCTCTCAGAAACTCTTCTGGCCTCTCTTTGCAGGAGCTGAAGGAGTTGGGTAGTCGAAAGAGTGTCACGGCTGGGAGCTCTGCACAGGTCCATGGCTGGCCCTCACACAGAAACTGGGTGAAGATCCAGTGGTTTGTGTTGCCCTGACACCGGGGTGGAGGCTGCGCCGTCCTGTTCTTCTGCTCTTCACCATAGATGTTTTGTACAACTGCTAACAAGAAACGTTTTGTGCAACAGGTAATGGTGCACCCATAAGGAACGATGGCTTGGCTACAGTCCCGCCCACTCATGTTGCACAATAGGATTATAAATATTACCCCCATTGCATATCTAATTGAGGGACAAGAATTCAATGCCAAATCATAGGGACAGATTGACGGGTTTGTCTTCCTCACCCCCCAAAAGGGATGCCTTTTGGTAAGATTTGTGACCTTGGCCACGCCAAGGGCTCACCAGGGAAATCAAGCTTGTGATTGCTGCCATATCTTTAAAGCTATATAGCTATTCTGCAGTTCAGTGCGTTTATCACCAGCAATCTTAAAGAATCTGTATGTGTTGCATAAAACTAACCAGTACTGTTTATGGACCTGACTGTTGGACCTGCAGCAAACAGACTGCTTATGCCCCCGGTGTCAGGCCTGTTGTCACGGCCATGTTTGGTCTCTAAATGCAACAGTGCCAAGTGGTTAAGTAGTTTGCATTACAAAAACTTGCCTGTTTTACATAATTAAAAAATACTGTCTAGCTGCAAAGTTCTACCCTTGTTCTGATGGCTCTATGAGGTGTTTTCTGATTAGTCTTTAGGGTGGAATTTGCTGGCCGGAGGAAGTGGCTTTTGAGGTGGTGTTAGTGACCAAGGGAAGATTTCTGCCCTGAAAGAGCTGTGAAGCCTTGGAAGAGGCTGCCTAGGGTAGTGGTGGAGTCGTCATCCCTGAAGGGATTGAAAAGCCAGACAAATGTGGTGCTGAGGGACATGGGTCAGTGGTGGGTTGGTCAGTGCTGGGTCCGTGGCGGGACTCCAGGAGATGAAAGGTCCCTTCTGTGGGAAATGAGCTAAGTTTTGCTTCAGCTAATTGATATATTCTTGTTAGTGTATCTGTGCTAATAAAGGAATCTTAGTGATAGTAGAGTCTCATAAATTGTATCCAATTAATCCCCAGAAAAGCCCTTAGTCTGTCAAGGGATCCTTGTTCACAGAACGTTATCTAGGTAAAAGAGAAACAGACTGGAACACGGCCTTCAACACAGGAACCCAGAGCATAGGGGAGTATCAATAAGGCCAAAGAAACCAGCCTTGGACAGTAAATCTGCCAAGCAAATGGTAACAAAGACTGTGAAATAACATGTAGCATAATCAAGTAATCAAAGGCATGTTTAGGATAATGATTTCGTAGAGTTGGTTATGTAGGAAAAAGTGTGAGCTAAACCTGTAATAAGTCAGGCTGTTGGGAAGAAGGTGAGCTCCAACTTCTCAGCCCATGAGAAGAGAGACAGAAACTCAGGTGGCCGGGATAAGGGTATAAAATACCTGAAAGCTGAAAGATCAGCGTGTATCTATTTTTGGTGCACCCAGTTCAGTGCTGTTTGGTATAGTAAATTTTTAATCTTTGCTTTGGTGACTTTGTCCTCTTTAAATTCTAAGTGTGAGCCGGTGTTTCTCACACTTCCAACCTAAACGATTCTGTGATTCTATGGAAGCTGCACATACAGGTCCCTGTAGGTACCACTGTCCTCTAGACACCCCACAGACTCCCTGTGAGGGGCCCTACAGTCACCACTGCTCCACAGACACCCTGCAGACAGCCCACGCAGGGCTCTATAGACACCCCACGGTCCCCCCCGGCTCCTCGCCTTTTGGGGGCAAGGGGGACAGAGAAGGGAAAGGTCACCTGGGGGGATGCGGGGCGAGCGCAGGCCCGGGTCACGTGATGCGGGCCAAGATGGCGGCGCCCGCAGCGGCCGGGTCTAGGCGGAAGCGGAAGGGTGGAGGTGCCGGCGCGCGCCGCTGCTCGCCCCGCGGAGGGGCAGGTAGGGGCGAGGGTTTAGTGGGGCCGGTGGGGACCGTGTGGGGCCGGGAGGCGCCTGTGGGGCTAGGTGAGCGGGGCTGTGGGGTCCCCGAGAGGGACCGGGATGGGGGGCCTGGAGCTGTGAGGCCATCTGGGGAGGGGGATTGTAGGGGCTGTGTGGTGGGGATGTGCGCGGGAGGGCTGGGGGGAGTACTGCAGGGGGGTGTGTGGGGCTGGGAGTACTGGGGGAGCAGGTTATGGAGCAGAGCCGGGAGGACACAGCAGGGGGGATGTTCAGGGGCTGTGAGGGTTGATCTGAGGGTCCTGAGGCAAGTGAGAGGAACTGCTCGGTGAGGAGGAGGCTGCCTGGGGCAGCAGGGTGACAGGGAGGGGTCAGTGGAGGCTGAGGAAGCACCTTTGGGGTGTGTGTGTGCACGCGCCATCCTCCACGAGCCCCTTTCCAAACCACAGGCCTGTCCGATACGATTCCTGCTCCCTCCACAGGACCTCTGCAGGCCCCCCCAGCCCCAGCGATGCTGATGGTCTCCCCTCCACCATGCTTCTCGCCTCCTACTTCGCCTGCGCCCTCCTCCTGGCTGCCTGCCTGGCGCTGGAGCTGGCCTCCTGCCGCTCCCGCCCCCCTGCTGCCCCCCACCATGCCAACCCGGCCTTCCGCCGCTTCCAGCATGGCTACTACTGCGTCTATCTGCTGGCACTGGCCGCTGACTGGCTGCAGGGACCCTACCTCTACAAACTCTACCAGCACTACCGATTCCTGGAGGGACAGATCGCCATCCTCTATGTCTGCGGTTTCGCCTCCAGTGTCCTTTTTGGGTTGGTTTCCTCTTCTTTAGTAGATCGATTGGGTCGGAAAAAATCCTGCGTCCTTTTCTCTTTCACCTACTCAATTTGTTGTTTGACCAAACTCTCCCGGGATTATCTGGTGCTGGTGGCAGGGAGGGTTTTAGGGGGGTTGTCCACGGCATTGCTTTTCTCTGCCTTCGAGGCATGGTACGTTCACGAGCACGTGGAGCGGTACGATTTTCCAACTGAGTGGATTGCCGTCACCTTCTCCCAGGCGGCTTTTTGGAACAACATTATCGCCGTGGGGGCCGGGGGGGCAGCTGATTTCTTCGCTGAGTGGTTGGGGTTGGGCCCAGTGGCCCCGTTCATGGTCTCCATTCCCCTCTTGGTGCTGTCGGGGGTCTTTGCCGTGAAAAACTGGGATGAAAACTACGGAAAGAAACGAGCTTTCTCCAAAACCTGTGGTGATGGTTTGAAGTGCCTCCTCTCCGACCGGCGCGTCCTTCTCTTAGGGACCATCCAGGCTTTGTTTGAAAGCGTCATCTACATCTTCATCTTCCTCTGGACCCCCGTCCTGGATCCCCACGGTGCTCCCTTGGGCATAGTCTTCTCTAGCTTCATGGCCGCTAGCATGTTGGGCTCCTCGCTCTACCACCTGGCCGTCTCCAAGAGGTATCACCTCCAGCCCGTCCACCTCCTCTCCCTCGCCGTCCTCCTGGTCTTCTTCTCCCTCTTCATGCTCACCTTCTCCACAAACCCCAGCCAGGAGAGCCCAGCCGAGTCCTTCCTTGCTTTTCTCCTCATCGAACTCTCCTGCGGGCTCTACTTCCCAGCCATGGGTTTCCTCCGACGGAAAGTGGTGCCAGAGAAGGATCGCCTGGGGGTGATGAACTGGTTTCGCCTCCCCCTGAACTTACTGGCCTGTCTGGGTTTACTGATTCTCCATGACAGCGACCGTCAGACGGGCACCAGGAGCATGTTTGGCATCTGCGTAGGCGTGGCGCTGCTGGCGCTGCTGGCCGTCGGCCGCCTCTTCGCCCTCAGCCGCCACGACACCGAGCTCCGCCTGACTGCACCACCAGGACAGGCGGATGCTGACGCCACACCCGAGCTGTGACAGGTGTCACCACCCTGAGGGACCAGGGAGGGGACATGGGGACACTTTAACCCACTGCTACAGGGTGAGTGCACCCCCTGGGTGGCTGGTGATCCCCAAAAGGGCCTGGTCCCCAATGTTTCAATAGTGGCAGGGGGAGTTGGAAGCACACAGGGGATGCATTCTCTGTTTTTTATAAAAAAACAACAGCAGCAAAATAAAAGGTGTTTCTGCAGATTCCAAACCCCCCTCCGCACATTTTTTTGGGAGAACCTGCTCTGGATTTGCCCCCCGCTGCCTAGCACGGGGGTCTGTACCAGTGCAAGTTGCACACTGGAACCTTGTCCTGAGCAGCGGTGTGCGGAACCATGCTTGCACGATTGTTCCTGATGCACGGGGATTTCTGTGCACACCAGTGTTTTTGTTTCAGTCATCCCTGGCACACAGTGGGGGTTCCATGTGCACCAGCATTTGTGTTGCACAGTTGTCCCTGGTGTACGGGGAGAGTTTGTGCATCCACAAGGCTTTTGGTTGCACCAACACGTGGCTGTCCTGCTCTACACAGAGCCTTGTCCCAGCACCTCATTCCACGTCGGTCCGCATGCACCCCTTGCACACTGCATGTTGCACACCCCTTTGCACACTTTCCCGCACACCAGTGCTGCCTTGGGCAGTGATCCTGGCACCCAGCCCCCATTACAGTGGGGTGCCTGCACAGCAGGCCCTATTGCACAAGGGTCCTTGCACACTCGCATCTGTTGCACAGGGGGTCCCTGCACACCTGTGCCTGTTGCAGGAGGGGTCCCCACACACCGTGGGAGCTGTGTGGGAACCAGAGGCAGCTTTGAGGTTGCTCAGCAGTGGCTCCCAAGATATCCCAGTGGTATCAGACTCTGGCTGTTTTGCTCCTCAACCCAAGGCTGCTGCTAAGAAAAAGAACTGTCATGGCCAGAGTGACACAGCAGGAGCCTGCACAACCACAGCCATCATGTAGGGGTCCTGCACAACCACAGCCATTGCACAAGGATCCCTGCACAGCAGCCCATCTTCCACAGGGGTGCTCTCTACATCCCAGTGGGGGGGCTGCATGCCTAGCCCCTCTCCCTGCACTCCTCAGGAGGAATCCGCATAACCCCCAGTACTGCCCTGCACCCCACGGTGTCTCCCAGCTCTTCTCCTTTGTCCTGGTAGGGGGAGACCCAGCCCTGCTGGTGCTGCCCAGCGCTTCTGCCCCTGCCTGAACCCAGGTCTGCGTCCCCTGGGCACACCCGCCCCTCTCCCCACCGCTGCTGGGCTCTTCTGCCTGCACCCCTGCCCTGCATTCTAAGGGGGGCTCTGCAGCCCTCCCCCCGAACACATTCCGAGCAGGTCTCTGGCCACCCTCAAGGGGGAATGCCTGCAGCCCCTGCCCCACATCCTGAAGGGGGTTCCCTGGCCCCCCTCTCTGCCCTCCCCAGGGTACATCTGCAGTCCCCCTCCCTTGGCCGGGAGACCCCTACTCTTGCACCTGCACCCCCAGGGCAGCTCTAATAAACAACCAGTACCAGCGGGACCATTCTCATCCTCCATCCCCCAAGGTCCAGGCCTCTGCTGCACCTACTCACATGTCAGATCTGCTTTGACATCTTTTATTTATTTGTACGGATGCTACCGATACATCTTTCTTGCTTGGTGTCACTCTGCTGGACCTTATGTTATGCTCACTTATTTGCAGCACACCTCAAGTTAGTAAGTCTCAGCATTTTTTTCAGTATACAATAATATCCATGGCAGGCCAAAGAGGATGACTTCCATAGCTGAAGATGACACCCTTCTATCTTCACCCCTTGTTCAGCTCAGCCTCTGCTTCAGACACCAGGCCCCTTTCCACTTGAAAATGCAACAGTCCAAGCATTTCCTACTGAGGCCAAGTACTCAACTCATTCAGCTTCCAAAAGGCAGCAGTTAGGCTTCCTCAATCCATCCTCCTCATCGTGATCACCTCAGAACATCCCAGACTTGTAGAAGCTGGTCAACATCAGTCCCTGCTGTTGTGTGTCAGGAGCCTGGTGAGCAGCACAGCTCTCGGTGGTTGTCCACAAACAGAGAGATCATGAGAAGTGTATCTGAGTTTGAAGGAAAAAAACAACCCTATTAGCTTAACGTGTTTTATTTGTATTCTGTACCCACAAAAAACCAGCTTGTTTCTAAAAGCAATAAAGAAAAAAGTAGGTAAAGCTAATTTAGTAGCCCAAGTGAAATAGATCCCTATGCCCTTGTTACACTGTGAGGAAGCTTCCAGCTGTGTCCAGGGTGCAATGATGAGTATTTACAACTGAAGTAATTAATGACATTTCAGAGCAGGTGACAAAGATCAAGCACAAACTGAGCAAGGTCACCCACTGCTACTGCAACCAACACAGCAAGTCATACCAGGCCTTCAGCCTGCAGCACTGAGACATCAGCGCAGCTCAAGGAAAGGTCTGCTGTAAGGGTGACTACCTTGAACAACGTCTGCTTTGTAGCGCTCCAAAATCCTCTCCCAAGACTGTGGGAGTACTTCCATGTCTGCCAGGCTGTCACAGCTGATGCGGAGGAGGAGAAGCTTGCTCTCCAGGTACCTTCACGCCCGGTAAGGACAACAAAGAGAAAAAGGCACCCCCCAGCACTGCCCCGAGAGCCCCTCCGCAGTAGGATACAGGTGCCGGTAATAGCGCTCTACGTCCTGCAGCCCCTCCAGTGCGTCTGCCAGCGAAGGGGCGCGTGGCCCACGCCGCAGAGCCGCCGCCAGGCCCAGCTCCGCCGCCCGTTCCTCGTACAGCCGCAGGACGACGGCCACGCCGGCCCCCACGGCGTCCCGCACTGCCCGCAGGTCCACCCTGCGCGATAAAGCAGAAGGGGGTCAGCTGCGACCCCACACCTTTGGCCCAGCTCGGCCCGGCCCCGCCGCCTCACCGCCGGCTGCCGAGCTGCTCCAGCAGCGCCTCGGCCGCGCCGCGCTGCTTTCGCCACAGCCGCGCCCGCAGCTCGCCGAAGGCGCCCAGCGGTGACCCGCCCCACGCTAGCCGCTGCCCTGCCCGCATCTGTGCGGCCAGCCCGGCCAACGAGCCCAGCAGCGGCGCCCAGGCGGCCAGCGCCGCCCGCCACGCCGCGTCCCGCCGCGCCACCGCCGTCGCCCACTCCCGCAATGCTGCCGCTAGCGCCGCGGCCGCCATAGCGAACGGCCGAACCGGAAAGCGCGACACCGCCCCGTGGCGTCATTGCACCGCGCCGGGCCCCGATTGGCCGCGCCGCCCCGAGCTCGGATTGGCCGGGCGGCGGCGGCGGTTGGGTTTGAACGCGCGGCGGGCGGTAGCGCTCCCAGCTCCGGTCCCCGGTTCGGCCCCAGCCCTCCCCGCACTGCCGCGATGGCGCCCGGGCGAAAGAAGGTTGTCGCGAGCGCGCGCAGGAGGAAGCTGGCGGCCTTCCTGAAGGACTTCGACCGCGAGGGTAGGCCGCGGCTGGCGGGAGCGGGGCGGGGGCGGCGGCAGGGAGCGGCCCCCGGGGCCCGGAGCGGTGACTGAGCCGTGTGCGTCCCATCCGCAGTGGAACGGCGGATCGAGCGGATTCGGGCGGACGGGGAGCGGCTCATCAAGGAGGTGGAGCACCTGTACGATATGGAGATCCTGCGGCTGCCGCCGGAGATCCGCGAGATGAACTGGGTCGAGTACTTCGGTACGGGCCGGGGCGGTACCGTGCTGGCGGGGACGCGTTTTCCCTGAGGAAATACACATAAGGGCGGCAAAGGGATCTTCTCTGCCCGGAATCCCCCGGGCTGCCGAGGTGCTGCTCTCTCTGGCTGGGGCTGCTCGCTCGCTGCCGAGAAAAGGGGTTTGTGCTGGTTTTTTGCCCCCCCGGTGGTGACGCGACACAGCGTGTCTGCCCGCGCTGCGCGGCTCTCTTAGATGTGTATTGATTTTTAAAAAATATTTTCTTTTTAGCTAAAGGAGGAAGCACAAAGGTGTTGGAAGAGGCAGCAACGGTAGGTTTCTAACATAAATACTCTTTTGATGGCGCTGTGCACCTCTGTAGCAAAGGAAGAGCTTCTTGAGTCTGTAGGAGCACTGCAATAGCAGAATACATAAATACTTTCACAAATGCTGTTTTAAGACTTAACAGTAAGAGGTGTGTGTTGTATTCAATATAGGGTTTGCATGCTCATACTGCACCTTGTCGATCCTGCCTTACCTGCTTGATTTTCCTCTCAGATCCCTGAGAGCACACATGTCTTTCAGTAAATTAAAGTATTTCTAAATTGGTTGAGCAGAGGGGCGGCAGTGGAGCATACTTGCAGCTGCCAAATAAGGCATGTTAGTTCTGAATGGCCTGCAGACCTCGCATGTTGTCACCTCCAGAATAACCCAAAAGGTCTTAGTTTGAGCACAGCAGAAAACATGGAGGTATTCTCGCTGTAAAATAATTAAGGATTTGCTTTACAACTTGGATTTCTGAGAACTATCTGCTACCAATAGTCCTAATGGTGTTGTGGTTGTTTTTAATTTTAGGCAGCCTTGGGAATAACAGAAATAAACAAGTTAACAGCAGAAGTTATCCAAACTCCTTTAAAAATCATCAAGAAAGGTCAGTTTGTTTTAAGCATTGTGATGAGTTCAGTGAGATGAAAGCGTGCCGTGATTTACATGCTGTGAATAATAATTCAGTTCTTACTTACACGCCTCAATATATTTAAAGACAGGGAAACAATCCTATGTTTATCCCTGCTCTCTGCAGTAGGTCTTCTTAATTTTATTAAAGATTCAAAATAATTCAAAATAGTGCTCTGTCGAGTTAGTAATCCATCAGGATTACATTGGAGTTTGGATTTCAGAAGCAAATTGTTGCCAAAAATGCTTGTAGTTGTTTACTGTTTACCACAGCTGCTAACTAATAATGTAAAGTTATGTATTTTCAACTTAAATAACACTTTCTCTTTCTAGTGGAAAAACCTAAACAGGATATTGAAGCTATTGAAGAAGAAGGAGAGCCTCCTTTGCTTCCTCTTGCAACAAAAAAACATGATAGCCAGTGTCTGCCAGATCCAGAAGCTGAAAACATTAATCCAAGAACTGGAAAGGTAAATAGCTGCTCTTTCTGATGACTTCATTCCCAAGATATAAGCTACTTTCTAAGGTGATGCCCGTGACAGTATAACTGTCTGGGATACTTTGAGGGGGACTTCAAACAAGGTATCGCTTCCTGAAACGCCTGGAGATAGGGGAAGGTCACAGAAGCTTCAATGGTGTTTGTTTCTGGACTCTTATGCCATAAAAAGGAGCCTGTTGAGCCAAAGGTTTTGTGTGGAAGCATTTGCTTGTAGACTCAACTGTCACATGACGGTGAAGTAACTGATTTGGTGAGTAATGTGTGTTTCAGGTGAAGGCATCCACTAAAAAAGTGCCAGTGTCCAGGAGCAGAAGAGCTCCTTCAGCGAGAGTGAAGCGTGTGAGTAAAAGGTAATAGGAGATATCCTTTTCACTGATTTCCAGAAGTGGAGCATAAGTGCATAGTGCTAATATAACTCTTAAATGGAATGGAGTACGGTTTAGTAGGCTGGTTGATGTAGTTGTGCCATGCTGTAGGAGAAAATCAGTGATCTGACAGTGAATGAGAGATGGGCAATTTCCTCTCCTGTGGTGACCACCTGTGCCTAGCTTTGGGGTTTACCTTTGATTAGTAAGAAGCTCTGGTTTTCTGTGGTGATAACCTCATTCAAGCCTTTGATAAGATAATGCTTGTACATTTGTTAAAAGTGTTCATATGAGGAGATGTTTATTTATTTCCCTTGACACAGGTCAAGCAAAAACAACTTTATTACTCCAGCTACTGGCAGAACTGTTGATCTGTGTGCTCTGGGAGGTACCTCCAAGGTCACACCCAAATTTGATTCCAGGTTTGTATTCTGTTAAATGTCTCTGTTAACCTCTTATATGTAGGGGAGTCCCTTACCAGTTGCTTTATAGAATCATAGAATGGTTTGGGTGGGAAGGGACCTTAAAGCCCCCCTCAGCGCCACCCCCTGTCCTGGGCAGGGACACCTCCCACCAGCCCAGGTTGCTCCAAGCCCCCTCCAACCTGCCCTTGAACCCCTCCAGGGATGGGGCAGCCACAGCTTCTCTGGCCAACCTGGGCCAGGCTCTCACCACCCTCACCGCAATGAATTTTTTCCTGAGATCTCACCTAAATCTCCCCCTTCTCAGCTTAAAACCCTCCCCCTCGTCCTGTGGCTCCCCTCCTGATCAGGGGTCTCTCCCCAGCTTTCCTGGAGCCCCTTGAGGGACTGGAAGGGGCGCTAAGGTCTCCCTGGAGCCTTTTCTTCTCCAGGCTGAACCCCCACAACTCTCTCAGCCCCCCTCCCAGCAGAGGGGCTCCAGCCCTCCCAGCATCTTCCTGGCCTCTTCTGGGCTCTCTCCAACAGGTCCATGTCCTGATATTGGTGACCCCATAGCTGGAGGCAGTGCTTGGGGGGGTGTCTCCCCAGAGCAGAGGGGCAGAATCCCCCCCTGCATCTGGCCACCCTGCTGGGGATGGAGTCCAGGGTGCGGGGGGCTCGCTGGGCTGCCAGCACACATTGCTGGCTTGTTTTGAGCCAGCACCAACACTCCCAAGTCCTTCTCCTCGGGGCTGCTCTCCAGCCATTCTCTGCCCAGCCTGTATTTGTGCTTGGGATTGCCCTGACTCAGGTGCAGGACCTTGCACTTCACCTAGTTGAACTCTGTGAGGTTTGCATGCCCCCCCCCTGTAATGTATGCATCTGTCATCTATTTGCAGCGTAATCTTTAGTGGCTCCTTGAACCTGAAATCAAATACTTTTAGTCAAAGCTCTTTTAGGAATTGCAGTAAAATTACTTACCTATAACTCCGTTTCAGAATCTTCAAGACACCAGGTTTGCGCACACCTGCAGTAAATGAACGCATTTACACCATCTCTGCCAATGGCAGCCCCCTGGCTGACAGCAATGATGTCTTCATTACAGTCCCTGTTGGTGGAGGGGAGGTAAATCAGAAACAATCTCTAAAATCTCTGCTGAAGGGAGAGCTTGTAACTTCTTGGGGCTCTTGGCAGTTCCATTCTTGTCTCTTTAGCTGTGAAACTGCAGTTTATCAGGGGATTGAGTGAGCTGAAAAAGAACCATGAAAGACTTTTAGTTCAAAGTGAGAGTTGGTCCAAGCAGAATGTGGAATGATGTTTTGCTGTGCACTTAAATAACGTTTAAAGTAACTTCTGCTGGCAGTAATGTGCTAATGCACTGCAGGGAAGGTATGAGCTGAGCTTCTGGTCAAGCTGGATACCTGTATGTTGTCTAGTATGCTTGGAATTATTATTTTTTTTTTTCCCTTGCTTCTGGCTACTACAACAGAAAACTCAAGCTTTGGGTTTTTTTTCCACAGAGCATTCGTTTGACAGCAAGTGATTTGACCAAGAAAAATCTTCTTCATCTGAATCCGGAGGCCCAAGGAGTGATGAAGAAGCTATCAGTAAGTCTACACGTTTTTGTGAATCGTGACCTGAAGCTGTAAGGTAGTGCTGTCACTCTTGTTAGCCACTGCACTGTCGAGCTGTAACTGAGACTTATGTTCCTCCTGTTGTCTTGTATTTTGGCTCATGTCACTGGTCAAGAAGCAGCATGAACTGAGAAGAGGAGGGAGTAGCTACATCACATTTAGCTTAATACAAACTGTATTAAGCAGTCCTGTTTAATAGCAGTAGCAGTCCTGCTTAATACAGCCTGTGGATAAACCATGCACTTCTTGAAAAAGAGCTCGTGGGACAACAGAACTATTGCCAATGTTTTGAAAAACTGAATCAAAACTGAAAGTGTCTCTACTTCAGGCAGGAGTCGTAAGTGGTTGTGGGATGCTCTTAGAGTACTGATTAATTTCTCTTTCTTTCCAGGTTCGTCTTGCACAAGCTTGCAGCGGTGCAAAAACCTATAGATGAAACTCAATAAATATTCACATCCCTTTGTAAATACAGAATGTTACATTTAGGACTGCTATCTTTAGTTCTTGTTCTAATTTTTGTCTTCCATTAATTTACAGAAAGGAAGTTAAGAACTAATTTTTTTACCTATAATATGTAATGGGATTAGAATAAATTGTTTCCTGAATAAAAAAACCAACATACTTTATTTCCTTTAAGGTTAAGACAAGATAGAATTATCTTGGCCTTGCAGAGCAG